AGGCTTTCAGACAAGCCCCGACTGCGTCGAGAATCCTAAGTAACTGGTGGAAGTGCGGGGAGAACAAAGAACCGGCGGCCTGTGCTCGGACCTGAAACTGGGCAGGAGTCGGCCGCCCGTGCGACGGTCACAGCTTCTGTCGCAGTCGCCCGTCCCCTGACTGCCGCTGCCCAGGCGCGGCGGAGGCTCTCCCGGCGGGAGGGCGCTGCCCGGTGCCAGTCACCCCCCTTCAGTCACTTAGCTGCACTTAGGTGTCCTCGGGCAGGTTCCCCCATCGCCAGTTACTCACAGAGGGCTTGGAACCATCAGGAAAGCAACTAGTGAGCAGCGGTGTGTTTAAAAGAAAAACTTCCCGGGTTTAAGCCTGGGCATTGCCTTAGCGATATTTAACAAGACCCTAATTAATCCAATCTGTCACCACTGCAGCCTCTTTAGAGGCTCTTTATATAGAGAAAATGGATTTGCCGGCCTTCGTCTATTGCCTTGCCCTAGGGGGTGACTTAGGAGGCTGACAATGCCAGGAAGTCACACTAGGTGAAGTCTTGACACAAGTTCTGCGGTGCATGGGTTTGGATTTATGGCAGGCCCGTCCCCCTCGGTCTCACAGCGCCCCTGCCAGAGCAAACTGTGGCCTTGACCCATTGCCTGGCCTCCGCCTGTAGGCTGCAGGCCCTGAAGTACATCACTCTGGAAAAATAGACTTTACCTGGAAGAAATTAAGTAGATTTAAATTAGCAATTTTAAGATAAGCGTCATTTGCCACTGTCACATTTAATGAAGGCCAAGGCAGTGGCTCTGGTTGTTACGAGCTTCTTGCTTATTTGTAAGTTATTTATGCTTGTTTGTTTTTATTTTTATTCATAAAGTTCACCAGAAGTTACTCTCATTTAAATATCATTTATAGCTAAGCACATATTAGGGTGCCTTTTAGGATTCCCAGAATTGCTCATTTAATTGGCAACACTAGTCCAAGAATGCTGAGTTCTTATAGAACAACTATAAAACATTATGTTTATTTGAAGATGCAGTTTTTTAAAATACATGCCCAGCATGAAAATAAAATTAGTTCATGAAATTCTCAGGAAACTTAGGAGCACTCGGTATGTTGAGAGTCCTACACATTTCCATGATGCCTGTGAGTTACTCAAACTGATTGTGTATAGTTTAAAGTGCTTGTTGAGATGTAGAGGACTGTGTATGGAATTGTAGTGTGTTGCATTGAAAAGAGTCTGAGGTGTTGAGTCTGGTGTCCTCAGATACTGTAGAGGTTTATGCATCATGTGACTTACACCCAGGAGTAATGGGATTCCCAAGCCCAGAGAGCCAGCTGTGAGGTGCCTACGCAGCCCTGCTCCCTGGGTGGGCTCAGTTAGGGCCTGGTGTGTCCATCTGATAATCTCCTAAGGTGATGGGACATCTATGTTATCAGGGCATTTCCACTGCTGCACGGAGAGGACACCCGTCTTCCACTGGACTGGGAGTTCCTGGAGTACTGCCTCTGAAAAGCTGGCAACAATTTCTTAAATTCCATCTCAGTTTTCCTTGTAAGTATTCTCGGTTGTTGCAGGTTAAGCTTGTTAAGATTTACTAAGTATCACTAAGGCTTCTGAGTAAATTTTTCCACCCTATTTGCAGTTTGCTGAGTTTCAGAACATCCAGAAGCCATGAACGACATCAGTAATGAAGAGTTTGACTGCCATTTCCTCGATGAGGGCTTTACTGCCAAGGACATTCTGGACCAAAAAATTAATGAAGTCTCTTCTTCTGTAAGTATTAAGTGTATGAAGCCCATGCTGGCCGTGTGGCTGTGGCAGTGCTGGGCAGCTGGGCAGGGACCTACAGTGGGGCCTAAGGAAGTGCGATGGAACTTGTGTCTTGCTAGGGAATTGAGAATTTGACTGGCCTAAAAGGGGTAGGATCATTTGAAAGAGGGCAGCCGTGGTGGGGCGTCGTTGGGTCGCTAATAAGGTCTCTGTGACCACTCTGACCGTAGGATGATAAGGATGCCTTCTATGTGGCCGACCTGGGAGACATTCTAAAGAAACACCTGAGATGGCTGAAAGCTCTTCCTCGGGTCACCCCGTTCTACGCAGTCAAATGCAATGACAGCAGAACCATAGTGAAGACCCTCGCTGCCATCGGGACGGGATTTGACTGTGCCAGCAAGGTAAGCAAAACACAGCAGGACTCTGAAGTGGCCGGGCAAATCTCAGCTGTGTTTTTTGGGCAGGAGATGCTAAGAAGGGAGGGGAGCTGTGATGTGACCACTTCCCATGTTTTTCTGTTTCTTTCAATATTAGCTCCATATGTATAGTGTAATATGGCTTCTTTTTCAGACTGAAATACAATTGGTGCAGAGTCTTGGGGTGCCTCCGGAGAGGATTATCTATGCAAATCCTTGTAAACAAGTGTCTCAGATTAAATATGCTGCGAATAATGGAGTCCAGATGATGACTTTCGACAGTGAAGTGGAGTTGATGAAAGTTGCCAGGGCTCATCCAAAGGCAAAGTGAGTTACTCCAAGTGAGGGCAGGGTCGGGTATGGGATCTGTATATTGTCAAACAAGCTCAAATTTCCAGTCATTAGATTTCAGTGCTTCAGGTAATTGTCTGTGTGATGGGTCAAAGACAAAGTAGAAAATAGCATAAAGCCCCATGATTAAAAAAGCCATGTTAGACTAAAACCACAGAGGAGCAGAGCGGAGAATTCTCTTTGTATTTTAACCATGTCCATCATCTTCTGTCCTGTAAATCTTATACGCTCCTCTTGCTTCTAGGTTGGTTTTGCGGATTGCCACTGATGATTCCAAAGCGGTCTGTCGTCTCAGTGTTAAATTTGGAGCCACACTCAAAACCAGCAGGCTTCTTTTGGAACGAGCAAAAGAGCTAAACATTGATGTCATTGGTGTCAGGTGAGAGATGGGTGGGGGCAGTGAGAGGCCAGTATAATGACAGACAATACAAGTTTTACAGGGTTTATCCCGCTGTAAAGAGTTGTCTTCAGGAATAATAAGAAATGGCGTGTTCTCCTTTTCACTGCCCAGCTTCCATGTGGGAAGTGGCTGTACGGATCCTGAGACCTTCGTCCAAGCCATCTCCGATGCCCGCTGTGTCTTCGACATGGGAGTAAGTATATGTAAACCCCAAGTGGGAGGTGGGGCAGGGCGGGAAGTAACTAGTTCAGTTCTAGAATTAACCTTTTGTAGAAGTCATCTCACATTGCAGAGGCTTAAATCCGCTTATTGTACGTTTTACGTGAGTTGTTATACATCCAGCTGTTTGACTTAATTTTCTTGACTTTAGGCTGAGGTTGGTTTCAACATGTACCTGCTGGATATTGGTGGTGGCTTTCCTGGATCTGAAGATGTGAAACTGAAATTTGAAGAGGTAATTCATAGCAAAACTAAAATATGCTGCTGCTACTTTAGCAGGTCCCCTAGTGGAATATTTTAGAACTTAAGGGTTTTAACTAAAAGCAGAAGGGACTATATATAAACATGTAAATAAATGTCTTGGTGTGATATGAGTGACTTTTGTGCTATATAAAATTGTACTTAATATCTTTTGATAGTCTAAACTATGAGTCAGTTTACCTAAAAATTCTTGGGAAACAATTAAGATTCTTAAACGTTGCTGTGGTAATGAGAGAACACACTTATGTCAATAGATCCTGTGACTCTAAATGAAATGACTTAACAAAACCAGTTTTACTACAGGCATTATAAACGAATGTTCAGTTCCAGTGGCTGCTCATCAATGTTATAGTGAAATGACAACATGTGAATAAAGGACATAATTAAGTGTTGAGTCACTTAGGAAGTTAAGCTCAAGTTTATAAAATAGATTCGCATTCTTGTTAAAATTGTGTGAGGTTGACAACAGAGTTTTAGCCTGTTGGCATGTATTTGCTAGATAAAAATATTTGGGGGCACTTTGATACCCTAGTAAGTAGCAAGAAATTGTTTTGTACTATTCTTTGATAAAATCATACCCATAACATCTTAAAAAGGATAAAAAGGGCACTTGGAGAGGAATCAGCGTGAAACCACAGCACCAGCAGGCTGGTTTGTAAGGGAGATGTTTGTTTTTGCTGTTGCTTGATAAGACCCTCTGCTCGTGGCGGCTTGAGCGTCTTCATCGTCACGTCACGGAGCTCTGTGCTCTTGCTCCTCTGTGTGGTTCCCCTTGATGGTTGACTGCTCTTGTCTGCCTCACCCGTAGATCACCAGTGTGATCAACCCAGCCCTGGACAAGTATTTTCCGTCAGACTTGGGAGTGACCGTCATAGCTGAGCCTGGCAGATACTTTGTTGCATCGGCTTTCACACTTGCAGTTAACATCATTGCCAAAAAACTGGTATTAAAGGAACAAACAGGCTCTGATGGTAGGTATAAAGGATGAACTTATTGCACGTATAACTGAAAGCTGGTACAAGAGGTGGTAATTGAGACTACTCTGCCTTCTAGATGAAGATGAGTCGAGTGAGAAAACCTTTATGTATTATGTGAATGATGGAGTATATGGGTCGTTTAATTGCATCCTCTATGATCATGCGCACGTGAAACCTCTTCTGCAGAAGGTACCTTCCTGTTATACTGTGAGATGAGAGGTGAGATGTAACTAGTTAGATAACAGCTATAACTAGGTATGTTTCTCTCAAATGCAGAGGCCCAAACCAGATGAGAAGTATTACTCATCCAGCATATGGGGACCAACCTGTGACGGCCTTGATCGCATTGTGGAGCGCTGCGGCTTGCCCGAGATGCATGTGGGGGACTGGATGCTTTTTGAAAACATGGGCGCTTACACGGTTGCTGCTGCTTCTACTTTCAATGGATTCCAGAGGCCAACTATCTACTATGTGATGTCAGGGCCAACATGGTTAGTGACAGTGCGTGTGTATGGGCCTGATAAGAATAGAGACCTTGGCGCCCTCTCCCTTCCGGGAGCCCGGTGCCTTTCCCTTCCCCCTCTTCTTCCCCTCCAAGCATGGGTCTCCTAATTAAACTCTAAGGGTCCCACAAGACTTAAAACCAGGCAGGGGAGCAATGGGCGGTAGCATCTCGTCCTGGGCTAACCCCCTGAATCTGTCTACAAGGCCCCCTTTTCTCTGACTTCTCAGTCCCATCTAGGCTTTCTCCTGTTGCTGCTTCTGTCCTAAGCCCGCCCTTGTTTCACTGTCCCCAACTTTAATAAACATACTCTCAAAAATCTTACTCTAGGTGAAAGAAATTGTCTTGCTTAGGATTAAAAACAATTTCTTTAAAAGTGTATTTTCTCCCCATATTACTATATTATCTAGAAATTTTGGAAAATACAAATGGGTGGGAAAATCTCTCCAATAATAATGATTTGTATTTTCACGTTTTTCCTGATGTTATAACTATTTTAGAAAAGATATTTCTATGTAGCAAGAATATAGGGTGTCCAAAAAAAAATGTATGCACACTTTGAATGATTATAAAGTCAGTGTTTATTAGCATACAATTCATTTTCAAAAGTCAAAGGAATACAGAGATGAATGATATCTTTTGTCAACACCTGTTTTCAAACTGATGGCCATTGTGGCCCAGGCACTGCTGATAACGGGAAGCAGTGGAATCACAAACATCAGGAATCATTGTTCAGCATCTGTGAGCTCAAGTCGTCACAGTTGCCGGTTTTGTGCTGTAAACTTTACCTTTTGTGTATCCCCATAAAAGTCTAGTGGCACTTTAGGATACATTTTCTTATTTGAAGTTTAGTCTGGCTTCACCCATTATTTCAAATCCGTCAAACCTGAAAAGGAGTGAAAAGTGAGTTATCAACTGTTAAAGTGTGTGTACATTTTTGGGGTATACCCTGTATTTTAATGAGCACATGTGACCTGTGGTTACCTTATTACCAAAAAGATGACTCTGAAGAAATGCTTGCCTTGGAAATATGCTTCTTCCTGATGTTGCTAGTAACCCAGGAAGTAAAATAGGCTCATGAATAAGTTACTGGAACTGCCCATTGCGGGTGACTCGGGTTTCTCAATGTGCCTCTTCTCTCTCTCAGGCAACTGATGCAGCAAGTCCGGAGCCACGACTTCCCCGCCGAGGTGGAGGAGCAGGACGTCGGCCCCCTGCCCGTGTCCTGTGCCTGGGAGAGCGGAATGAAACGCCACCCGGAGGCCTGCGCTTCCGCGCGTATTAATGTGTAGATGCCATTCTTGTAGCTGTTATGCGCATGTAGCTTGACTTAAGGGAATTGGGGGGACCATTTAACTTAATTATTGCTAATTTGGAAATGTCTTTGTAAGTAGGGCTGGCACAGATGGAACAATGTGGGAGGCCTAGGCGATGAGGTCACACTTATCTGTGTTCCTATGGAAACTTTGAATATTTGTTTTATATGGATTTTTATTCAATTTTCAAACATGCTACTAAGAGTGCCCCTCAGCTGCCCAGCAAGCATTTGTAGCTTGTACGTTGGCAGAACAGGCCAGAGGCTCAGTGTTGTGACCTGTTTTAACAATAAAGTACCTTGAAAATTGGGTGTCGGGAAATTTTCAGTGTGTCCGTTCCACACAGCTTGCCTCACGTGTGTTTCTACAAGTGAAAATCGATGTTTTTACTTCCCTGAAGACAGAAAATTTTTTTTATTTTGAAATTCTATGGACATGCCTTTTTTGTTTATCTCAAGTACCTTAGTGCTGTATAAAGTTTGATGTGGGTTCTCACAAGGAGTAGTAGGTCCAGCCCTGTGCAGGTAGAAGGAACAGGATGGATGAGAGAGGCCACATCCTCTGCTGCTGACTGGCGAGCATCTGCCCTAGTGGCTCAGCCCACTCAATGTCCCCAGGTGGCTGTGACGTGGAGTGCCCAGAATCCCTTGTTAACTAACTGGCCTGCTTCTGTCACAGCCAGTGCCCAACGAAGGTGCATAAGGCCCTCAGAACCCTGCCTGCAGAGACCAGGGACAGTCCCTTCCTACCTGGACATCACTCCCAGGGCAAGTTGCACAGTACAAGTCAGGACTGTAGTACAGCATTTGGCAGTCACCTTATTTTAATAAGTTAATAATTATTCTGTGTTGTAGATCTTTACCTTCTTCTCTGACTCCTATTCCCCCCAAACATAGACTCTCATACCACCTAACCCCCAAGTGAGGATTTTGAATCTCTGCAGTAGCTGCACCATGAAGGCATCAAAGCTAGATGTCACTCTAGGAAGCCACTGCTGGCTGCCAGTCACTGTGTGCACATGGTCTTACCAGCTTCATTAGCGGGATATGGGAAGGCGGCAGTGGCACAGATGGGGATGTCATGGCTCCATTCGTCTAGGAGTGAACGAAGCCCTCCAGCTGCGTCAGTCCACTTGCAAAGGAGCTGAGGGGACAGGCTTCCTGGTTCCACGTGGCAGACGATGCATTGCTGTGACTGCAAGTTACTTCCCAGCTGCCCAGCCGGACTAGGGCTGGCTTGTCACTGGCGTGGGTCTCCTTGGCTTTAGTTGCCAGGACATGAATAGTAAGGCTTCCAGCAGCCACACAGAAAACAGGTTCTTCCTGGAGATGGGGAGGGGAGGATGCCAATTAGCCATCGGCCCCACTCCCTGTGAGCACAGCCTTTTCTGGTCCCTCCGCACTTGATGCCCACTCCCAGGTTCAAAATAAAGGAAGTGGCATTGTCCACAAACGTGAGCTAGACACCAAGCCTAAAACCTTGATAAATCAGGCCTTGGACTTCAAAAGGAATGGCATTAACCAGAATCAGGGAGCATCTTAAAATGCAGACATGGGGTGGGGAATGGGGCAACAGAACCACCTGGAAAAGTGCATGTCCCCAGCTCATACCACAGTCAATTCTGATGAAAATTCAATGTAACAGGTTAGACCACGAAATTTAAAATATTTGAAGTCAAAAACAAGAGAAAATGGGGCGAACTGACACAAAGAAGCTAATTTTCTTCTATTTAAAGAGTTCCAACAGGTGATAAAAAAGGAACAATCCAATAGAAAGTGGGCAAGACATGAACAGGTTTGAGATTCTCAAATAGTGAAACCATGAGAGTTTTGGGACCGCATCAAACTAAAATGCTGCTGCACAGCAAAGTAAATAGTGAGAAAGCAGCCTATAAATGAGGAAATAACTGCAGATCACGTGTCTGATAAGTGGTTAGTCTCTAAATATAAAGAACACGTACACCTCAACAACAAGAAAAACCAGACAAATGGCCGACGAGTACATGCGAAGGTGCAACGTCATCAGCCACGAGAGAAATGCTGATCACAACCACAGTGAGAGGTCGGCTCCCTCTGTTACCAAAAAGACGAGAGGAGTGTTGGCAAGGGCGTGGAGGAAAGCGATTCCTCGTACGCTGTGGGGAGTGTAAGTTGGTTTGGCCACTGTGGAAAAGTTTGGTGGTTCCTCAAAAACAGCCAGTGTGTGATCAGCAGCCCCACTCCTGGGTTGTGTCTGAAGGAAGTGAAACCACCGTCATGAGACATCTGCACCCCCGCGCTCCCCACAGCACTGGCGTGGAAGCAACCGGGCGACTGTCGGTGGGTGAACAGACAAAGTGGTACATCTAGGCCGTGGAATGCTTCGCAGCCATAAAAAGATGGGAAACAGGCTCTCTGAAAACTAATAATGCTAAGTGAAATGTCAGAGAAAGACAAACATTGTAAATCCTCACATAATGCGTGGAATCTGAAAACGCTGAACTCGTAGGAACAGAGTAGAATGGTGGTTGCCAGTGGCCGGGGGGAGAGGGTGGGAAATGGAGGGATGTTGGTCAAAGGATAGAAACTTCAGGTAGGAGTAAGTTCTAATGTACACACAGCGACTCAGTGAACAACACTGTTATATACTTGAAAGAGAGCTACTCTTACATGTTACCATAATTTAAAAATGTTAGTTATGTGAGGGGTGGAGGTGTTACCTGACCTGGGAGCACCTGGATTCGCTGACCTCTCAGGTCGTGTCCAGCTAAGTTTGATGATTCTGAGAATTTCTATAGTTATTATATAGTTATTATTACACATCTCATTCTATAAAATCCAACCACTGGAGAGTTGATTTAAACTCAGTTGACATGTTTATGTAACAAGAAAACTGCTGGTAAACAGTGCCACCCTCAGAGTGACACCACGAAAACAAAAGTCGTCTGTCCAGAGGCTGCGCAGGGCAGATGCGCAGAGTAGCGTCTGGAGGGGAGCCCGAAACTCCAGTTCTTCTTCTCTCCCTCCTGATTGGAGCGGGGCTCTCCCAGCCTGGAGGGCAGTGTGACCCTCTTGTAAGGAGCTGGAGGCCAGGAAAGGGAGGGGTCGCAGGAACCCATGCTCAGAAACTCATCCATCACTGTCTGGGTTTGTATGCTGACTCTCTTGGGGTGACCTTGGGTTATGAACTTGGTTTCCACCAGGGCTTCACCTATGGGGACTCTCTGGGGCCTGGGGCCCAGGCAGCATATTCAAGGAGGCCACTGTGAGCTCCGGCCGAGGCCAGGGGCAGGGCGGGTGCTGACGGCAGGAGCCCAGGGGGCTGGCTGAGGCCCCGGGGAGAGACGGGCTCGCCTCCCCCACCCCACCCACCGGAATGAGCTTTGAGGGCCGCACTCAACACAGCCTCACACACGTCCCCAGGAGCAACCCGCCAGATGCCCCGACCCTCCACACTGGCTCTCTACACCGCAGGCCTGGATGTGTGCCTACCTCCCCACATGGGACAGACACCCTTCAAACGGGACCCGTCCCACAGAGCGACATCTGCAGACTCAGTCCAGACCATACACTGGTCCCTCCTCAGAAACACAGACACACACCCAGTGAAGGGGCGCTGTTGGGGGGGCGGGGAGCTGGGGCAGATGATCCGGCAAGTTCTGATTCTGCCTCTGTCCTGGGTCCCAAGTGAGCTCTGAGGGGCCTGGCTGGAGTTGGTGCCGGGTCTGCGGGGCAGGTCCCTTCCCTCCCGTTTCCTCGCCGCCTGCAGGTGGAGCACGTGCACCATGAAGGCCCCTGTAAGCTAATGTGCAGAGAACAGAGATGCTGGGGGGATGTGTGTGCACAAGTAGCTAGCGAGGGAGTGAGGGCGCGGAATGTGTGCTCGAGCTGCGGGCACACCCAGCTCACAGCCAGGAGACAACGGCCTCCTGCTCTGGCCAAGGCCTGCAGGGCTCAGTGGGCTGGGTCAGGATGCAGGAGGGCAGGTGGCCTGCAGGCTCTTGGAGACGGCCCAGGAAGGCCTACCCCCAGCTCAGTCCCAGGAGCTGCTGGAAGGAGCCCACAGGTGATGGAGGGAGGGCCCCACTCTCTGCCCCCCCAGGACCCTGCACTCACCATGTGGACCCTCTGGCCCCTTGCAGTGCCGGGCTTGGCCACACCCCAGGCCCATCCTCCAGTGTTTGCTTCACAAACACCCTCCGCCTACCCCAGGCTCCCAGCGCCCCTTTACCATCGTCTCCAGTATCCTACACCTCAGAGAGAAATCCTACTGGCTGTCTCCCTTGAGAATCCTACACAGGGTCATCCTCACCTGGGTCTGCTGGGCAGTGCCCCCCACTGTAGCACTGAAGCTGCCCCCCTCCCCTCAAGCACTGCTGACTTCACCTGTGCCAGCTCCACTTTGTGAAGCAGAAGCCCCTCAGCAGGAGGAAGATTCCTCGAGCAGGCAGAGTGGTCAGAAGCTCCGTCTTGCCTTTGCAGCAAATTGGATCCACCCCCAAGCCACCCGGCTCCCCCTCCCACCCCGCCAGGTGGTGCTGCCCATCGGAGGCTGTGGCTGTGGGCACGTCAGGAGCTGCGCCGCCAACCAGCTCCTGGTGGTGCCACAGGCCCAGAAGGCACTTGCAGATGGGCTCATCGTTTCTATTCAGAGGCATGAAGTCTTCAAAGATACTAAAATGTTCTAAAATCAACAAAACAGCCACCATCCCCAACGGCCTGGCGAGTTAGGCTTGGAGCCGCAGGCTCAGCCCTCTTACCCCGATCGCCTGCCTTCTCCTTACGCCCCCCTGCAGGAGAGGCTCAGAGAGGCTTGTGGCCCGTGGGCAGGTGTGCCAGCCACTGTGGGTGCCCATCCTGGAAACAGGACCCCACTCCTGTCCACCTTCCCCAGTGCAGTGCCCTGTGGGAGAGGCGGCTGTCCCACAGCCAAGGGGGCATCCTGACCCACCAGTCGGGTGACCTCGTGCTCCTGGCCAAGGCCCGGCCTGGGTGTGGCCAATGAGAACTGGGACTGGTGGGGAGGGAGAATTCCAGAAAGTTCTCCTCAAGGAAGAACAGAGACAGGGCCGCTTCTCTTCCTGCCTGTGGGACGCTCCTGGGTCAGCCGTACTGCCCAGAGTGGTGACAGCCCTGTGGGGACCCCAAGAAGACAACTGTGAGGACAAAAGCTGACTGAGGCTGGAGGGCGGGGCGGCGGAGGTGGAAGGAACCCGGGGACCCCCGAGCTGCTGAGTCAGCCAAGCCCACGGCCTTGGGGCAAACGTCCTCGAGGCTGGAGCACCTTCCGCTGGGGGTTCTGCTGCTGGGACCAGACGCCTCCATGGCTGCAGCGGAGAAGCAAGGTCTGCCCCCGGGCCTGGGCCGGGGCCCTGGGGCCCGCTGTCCTGTCCTCGCTGGTGTGTGCTGTCCCCCTATCTTGCTAATTACACCGCAGGCTGGGGAGGCAGGAGGCAGTGTCCCAGTCAAACCTGCCAAGAACAGTCATCTCTTATTTCCACCAATGTTTCTTGGCATCCAGCAGATATTGAAGAACAGACTGCACGAGATTTACAGACACAGTGACAGCTACGTGGATACAGGAGGGGCCGAGTTTACAAACAGCCGCTGGGTCCACCGAAGCCGCCTTTCCCGAGCGCGCGGGCCACGGCGGCAGAGTGGGGCTCTCGGGGGCCAACACACGACTCAGAGAATTCCGTTTATTGGATCATTTTAATACAGGAAATGCCGGACCAATCAACAGGACAAACCTTACACAGATGCCCGCATTCTCTGTGTGGACGGGAGGGTCTCCACGGCAACGGGCACGCATGCATCTCCTCTGGGAACGGGCAGACTGAGGGCATAAATACCACAGGAGAACCAGGCTCGGAGGGACCGCGGGCCACGGGGGAACCACGCTTCAGAGGCGGCCGAGGCGTTAAATACGGGACCTACACGTGACACTTCACATCACCGTACGTATAATTTACATTAGAGAAAGGAGACCACAGTACAGACGTGCGAGTGGCTTTGGTCAGAGAATACGACGAGCTAGGTGGAGCCATGCACGGGGAGGGTGCCATCTACTCTCCCTCCTTCCTGTCCTCGCCTTATCCACGAGTCACCTGCAACCACAGAATAAATCAGCTGGCCTGGAGCCACCTCAGAAAGCCCCGCCAGTGTCCTCGGTGGTGTCCTCGGGGCTCCCCGCAGGCGGGGACGTGCCCTGGAGGCGAGGACACCGGGCCCCGCGTGTGGACATCCCTGGACGCCTGGGCGCGGCCGGGGGGGGCGGTAGGAGGCCAGGTGGAGGAGGGAGGCGCGGCTGCGGGCCGGACAGGTGCCACGGGCCACCCGGCCCGGCCCGGAGAGCGGGAACGATTGAGGAGGCATCCACGTTTGCAAGCAAAGCTTAAACAGCGAGACAAGCCTGTGTTTCTCTGTCACTGTCCAGACGCGGGGTCCCTCAGAACTGACTTGCGCTGCTGGGGTCGCACTGTAGCAACCGGACGATGGAAGGGTCGCTCTTGGCACCTTTGATGAACTCTTCCAGGGACAGTTTGCCTGTGGGTAGGAGGACAGGAAACAGGAGTTAGCTGGTGCCCCTGCTCTTACCTTCCAGAGCTCAGGGACAGCCCCCACTCAGGGCCCCCAGCAGTGAGGGACGCCCTCCTGTGGGCGCCCAGCAGGGCAGGCGGGCTGGCCCCGTGGGAGACCAAACAGCGATGCGCAGGCTAAGGGTGGGTTAGGAAGCGAGCAGACAGCCCCGCCTCCCCAGGGGAGAAGCTCCCGCTGCTTGGCTGACACGAGGGGCTCTCGGTCTACCTTTCTCTCCTTCGCCTGGTGTCACCGTTAGCTGCCATGCCCCCAGGCCTCAGGTGGAGGGGCTCCTGAAGGCACAGCCCCTCTAGCAGGCCGGGGGGCCACGAGCACATGCGCTGCACCCACACGGCTGGGGCGGATACTGTCCCCAACTTAGAAGCTTGCCGGCCGTGGCTCAGGGGCAGCAACATGGGAGAGGACAGAGCCAGGGCGCAGCCCAGGTCTCCCTGACCCTGGCCCCGGGCCCCTCCCTCAGCACAGCGGGGTGGGGGTGGGGGTGGGCTGGAGGCCCGAGGAGCT